GCGTGGGACGGCATCTGTCAGACAAGTGATCGTCAACCGTCATTGATGCGACGCGCGTCTCATGTATATAGCTCTGTCTTTTCTGTTTCATACATTATACGGGGTGTTAGGGACGGTGTAACGAAAACTTTGCAGGCATGATCAGACCATCAAACTGAACAACTTTTACTATGAAGCCAATGGTGGGAAACGAAAAAAAATTCCGACCTCCCATACAAAATTCTGACTGACTGACTGACTTCGTATGAGAGGTTGGATTTTTTTTTCGTTTCCCACCATTGGCTCCATAGTATAAGTTGTTCCGTTTCATGGTCTGAGCACGCCTGCAAAGTTTTCGTTACACCGTCCCTAACACCCGGGATATGGTAACTGTTTCAAACGTGGGAATGTCGCACATCTCACGTGTCCGAAGATCACTTGTTTGACAGATGTAATTTCGCGTCTTGTGTCGCATATCTCATCTGTGGAGTTTTCGTTGTTTGCGGATTTCATTGGGGCTTTGATGCTCTATCCGCTAAGTTATTTGGGAGTATTTTTTTCCCTGACTACACTGTGGTCAGCTAGCTAGTTCACATGGTTCCCTCTAATTATATTCTCTCTGACGACAGTCAATGCAGTTACCTTGAATGGTATAACATTGGTTGTATGGTAATTTTAATACTAGTTGTATAGTTATATATTCCGTGGTAATGCGTGAAACTGGAACTAGTTAAATTTCAATGAAGTCACGAGGATTTCACGCGTTGGAAACAAAATAGTTATATTTAGATACAAAGCGTCTTCGGTGACTTTTGTTGAAATAGTGAGAAGGCAAGCACGTGAAATCACTAAATTCAGACACATTCTGAATTGACATTGAAATAGAAGAATATACAATTGAAATTGAAGAAAACTCGACAATAAGTCATTATGATGATTTTAAGTAACAAACTTTTACTTAAAATTAAACAATTACCTCTAGTGAACCCACCACCAAATAAAAAAACTGTGCTTGATATTTTCTATATTTTTACTTAGTTTAAGTAAATAACATTACCAATACCTAGTTAGTTTCATATTTTCCATTAATATATTGAGAAAATAATTATGATAATTTATGTTTAGGTGACTAAATTATCAAGTTAAAACGATTGAGTCATATTGCTGAAGGTTGTATCCACAGTTAAAATATATTAAGTTATTAAAATATTTCTATGGTAAAAAAGCATACCTTGGGAAGGTTTGAGGTTTATATGGATCTATGTCAAGATTAAAGCAAACCTTTAATCATGTATGGATAAATATGAATGCATAAATAATGGATACGAAATCGGGTCAAGTATAATAATATTTTATATAAATTCCATTTTCCACTATTGACGGTCAATCCATGAGAAAAAAAGTTTTTTTGTTTAGAGAAGTTTTTCCCCAACAGAAATTATCAGAGCTAGAGCTGATCGTCAATCGCATAGAATATATTATGGTGGAAAAAATTAACTGCATATATTTTATCGGGTGAACCAGTTCATGAAACTGAATAACTTTCCCTAAAAAAGTTTCTTCTAATACTGCCATATTTTTTTCTAACTCTATTCATCCACTCGTCCGTGCGGGTGTACTCTAACTGTTGCTTCAGACTATACAGTACGGGTACAGACGCAGGACGTTAAAACACTTCGAGTGTATTGATTTTGTCGAGTTCGATTGTAGACTCGCCGAGGAAGGTACTGCATGTGACAGACAGAAATTCAGGTACCTACTGGCCGAAAAGAAAGAACGCATTTGGAGTTTCGAATTTAGAATGCTTTGGGTTGTGACAGACAGACTGAAATTCAGGTACTGGCCGAAAAGAAAGAAGACGATCGGAGTTTTGAATTTAGAATGGTTTGGGTGAATCATTGAAAAAGAAGTACGGTAACCAGATAGTGACAAAATAACAGCTAGCGAGCGATTACTCACCCACATAGAATCTCGATTAGCCGTGTGGTGCCGGTAGAGTAGAATAGCACCACCCAATCTCTTTTCGTGGGGGTCGTAAGAGGCGACCGAGGAATAAACCCGACCCAAACAGCCAGGGCCAGCCGTATGGTGGCGGTTAATCCACCACAAAAGCATTCCCAAGGAGGGTTGACGTCTGGTAAGCGGCCGGTCGTAAAATTACCTACCTAAGCCAAATCCTTTGCAACACGATTTTGTGTTTAACAAAACGTGTCGCGCCGAGCCGACCCCAAGTAATTGGGATAAGGACAGGAAGATGATGATTTTCTGTTGCATAATTTTAACAACATTAAAAGTAGGCAATGCACCGGTCACCCATCCAACAGATTAAAGCGTATCCATTAGTTTGCAAAGAAACCCCAACAGAATCCTTACTAATGCGAACGTTGCACTAAACCCCCCCTTCCCCCTCCCACCTAATCTCATTATTTTTAAAGCCTACTACAAAATACTGTACAATGGCTGTACTTCAAAACCTTAGAAGTAGAAAACCATCCATTAGGTAAGCAGTTTAATATAATATTACATACATATTTCCAATGCTACCAACATGACGCCATAGGAACTATAAGATGAAACGCACTGTAAAATGCGTTTCATGTTTTAGTTCCTATGGCGTCATGTTGGTAGCATTGGAAATTTTTATGTAATATTATTGCCGCCATAAAATTTACATACAAATTGCCAATGCTACCAACATGACGCCATAGAAACTATAAGATGAAACGCACTCTACACAGGCTCTCAAATCTCCAATTCCAAATTCAAAATTCAGAACGCGCAAACGAACTTCAGGCATTGTCTCGTCGGCGGCATCAGCCGTTTAAAAGCGCGCGAAAGTGGGACGAACAAAATCAATAGGGGAGGGGGGCGAAGTCGCAGGGTGGGGGGAGGCGCCGACCAAATTGTCCAAGGGTTTTGATTAGTGATTAGGGGTTTCAAGTCTGAGGGTTCGAGACTCGAATTATGACATAGATTGTTGGTTAGATCTGGATAGGTTTGCTCAATTTTGAATTTGTTATAGGAGATTTGAGCGGCTGTGTACGTTTAGGATAAAAATTCGCTGTGTGGTGCCGGCTTAGAATAGCACCACCCCAATTATACTTACCCGTGGGTGTTTTAAAAAGTGACTAAGGGATAATCAACCAGGGAATGGGGAGCAGCGTTCCCTGTAAATGTAACATCACTCCAAGGTATTATTTTGAAACGGTCACAAAGGAGTTTGCCCAATTTTATATGGACGTTGGACTAAATCCTGTCCAACATTGAACCATAGCGTATCATTGTGAAAAAGAAGGAAAATATTTAAAGAGGTAGGCAATCCAGCCCATGAAACTGAACAACTTACCTATACCAGAAAACATAGGACGAAAAATGAAAAAAAAATCCTCTCATAGAAATTGACCCGCTCGGCGGGTGCATTTGTATTGGTCGGCCCAATTTTTTTTTCGTATTTCGTCGAAATTGTTTAGTTTCACCCTCTTAAATATTTCCAGTTATTTTTACATAAGTAAGTACCTACTACATTATATTCCTTACAATAATACTAGTCTGAAACGTTATTTGTCTACAAAATCGGACTCCATGGTCAGTCAGTACTGGTCAGGGGTTACATAACACAAATACGACACTTGCTTACCTAATCGCATTAACACTGCGGTACTCGCGCCCAGATTTTTGTTATGGATGCTCGCGTGGCCTACTATAGTAGGCCATTTTAAAATAACGATATAGGTGAATAAATATCATAATTATGGAATAAAACATATTTTTTCAGAAAATTACTTTATTTATTTACTTTTAGGACCATTTTCATAAGAGATAAAGCAGTTATCACTTGAAATAATAATTAAAACACTAAAAACAAAAAAGTGCAGGGTATTTTGAATTGACCTAAAACTATTGAAGAACAAATCACTCTTTTGTTTTATTGTGTACCAAATTTACATCAATTCGTAAAAATCAGGGCATACAATAGCGTGATAATCAGGAAATATCCACTTATTACAGGTTTGACATGAAAAAAAAAATAGTTTGATTACGCGCGCTCTAGGACAAAATAGCGCATCTGCCAACCCTACCTAATTGTGTATAAGGTTATGCTGCTGTTCGGATTCTTGGGTCCCCAAAAGAAAAGAAAACCAGGCTGTCAATCTTATTCATCTTCTTCACTCTCAATAACTTCATCATCTGAATCATCATCTCCAAACAACCAGCTTTCTATTTGCGCGTCGTTCATAGTGATGGAATCTAAAATATCAATAAAACAATACATAATATAGGTAAAAAACACAAGTCTTTATAAAAAAAAGAAAAGAAAAATCACATGCCAAAAATTCATATAAAAACCTAAAGATATCAACCATAAACCAATAATAATAATTTGTTGCCTTACCTTAACTTTCAGTACACTAGTAGTCGCGCGGATTACTATGGTAGGCCCCGCACCTTTAACACCAATTAATTGACACAAGCAAATGTGTCCTTCACTCGCATATGACTAATCTTGTTGCTCAGAAAACTGACGAGGCTTTAATGAAATCTACCCTCATTTGCACAACTATTTAAAAAAATATGCCACTGTTTATAACTATGGTCTACTATAGTAGGCCACGCGAGTACTCTAGTGTTAAGCAAACACTTCCGCAAACAAACAAACAACAATTCACAGCATTTTTATACATAATTCAAAAACTCCATGCAAAAGTTTTTCAAACCATGACATCAGTTTAAAAGGACAAACGGATGTAAAATGAAAACACCCATTATATTTCTGTGCTAGAATTTTCACTGAACGCATAACTTTTAGACTACACAAAGAAAAGTTTATTATATTTTGAAAAACAATTACTTTTGTCCGCGACCTTCTAGCCTTGTTTAGGTAAAGTATTATATCCGTATTTCTAAATTTTGTGTGAATAGGTAATTTATAGACATGATTAACCTACGTACTGGAATTTTTAATGCACTCACAGCGCTATATTATTCTCATAAATTGAAAATGAGAAAATTGAATAATCACTAGCGACCGCCGGGACTTGAACCCGGGACTGTGGATCACCGTTCCGCCGCTCTGCCAACTGAGCTACGGGCGCCTAGCGGACCCTGGTGAATTTCTCAACCTCTTGATGCAGGATCCACAGTCCCGGGTTCAAGTCCCGGCGGTTGCTAGTGAATTTTTCAATTTTCTCATTTTCAATTTATCATTAACCTATTGCAGTACTGACGTCATCTTACTAAATTAGTGTATTTCTTTCGCTTCTTCAAAAAGTGACGGCAAAATCACAAATTAGGGAAGCGGCTCGCGGGGCGCCTATACAGATGACCTACTCAGTACTAGCGACGATTTTAACGCTTACTGACTTTACCTGAAAATAACCGGAATCTCAGGGGAACTCAACTAAGAAGATGGTTGTCACGAACGACAAATTTTTGAATTTAAATTGGCGTAGAATCATGACGTTCTTGCACCTAACAAGTGATAATGTAGCAACCCTGACTATGTATCAAGTGACAACCGCCAAATCCGAAATAGGGTCGAGTGAACTTTCTGTGATCTTACTAAACTAGTCTCATTTTATTTTGTTGCTTTTAACATGAATTTACAAAAAATGCCTATTAAAACAGCATTCAAAAACACCAATATCGTAAGTTTTTTTTTCAATCTATCGCTGACTTTGACGTACCCCCGACACTTGCCAAAACCTAAAACAGTCAAATACGCGATTCGTCAAATTTGAGACTGGTCAATTCCAGTAGACAGTAACCAAAACCTAAAATAATCAAATACGTGATTCGTCAAAACCTAAAACTGTCAACTGGTTCCAAGTAAAAACTCTTTCACATGGAAAAGTATTCAAGCCAGACTGCGAAATTCTTAGATGATGTTGTAAATCTTGATGAAACCGACACATATTATGACAGCTGTCAGGCTAAAAACTCGTGTATCTTGGAAAATATGGATGCTAGACTATCAGTGTTTTAGAGAAAGTTATAGGCCTTGATGAGATATACCTACATGTCAGGTGACAGCTGTCAAACAAAAACTTCGTTTATCTTGGAAACTACGCGTGATAGACTATCAGTTTGTTCGAGAAAGTTGTGGTCCTCGATGAAACCTACATTTATGATGACAGCTGTCAAACTAAAAACTCGTTTATCTCGGAAACTAAAAATCTTAGACAATATGTTCCTTTGAGAAAGTGGTAGGCCTTGACGAAATCTATCAAATGACAGCTTTCAAACTAAAAACACGTACAACATAGAAAAATTGAGAATAATAATAAAATAAACTAATAAGAAAGTAAAGAGTTCAAAAATAAACAAAAAAATGTCTTTTAATACCGTATATCTCCGAAACTATACGCTTTACGATTTTTTATCTTTGGATACTTTTGGTTTGTATTTTTATGCTTAATCGATTGCGATATATTTCAACTCTGGCCATGAAAAAGAGTTTTTGTTATGTTTCAAGGTCACTCACTATGCCAACCATGTCGGTAGCTCTTTGATGTCGATCGGTCTAAAGCTGACAAAGTTATGAGGGCCCGGCATACAGACAGGACATAAAACAACAGCGATGCCAGGCTATCTTGCAGTTGTGACTTTAAATTAATCAGTCGGACTTTTTGTCCCAGTAATATGATTAAGTGTTATATTGAGCCGAGCCTAAAACTGCTTCTAAGAAACTAAGTCTAGCAAGCATAGTTTTCGAGAAAAACGAGTTTTTAGTTTGACAGCTGTCATCATAAATGTAGGTCTCATCAAGGACCACAACTCTCTTAAGCAAACGGATAGTGCAGCATGCTAACTTTCCAAGTTATATGTGTTTTTAGTTTGAAAGCTGTCATTTGATAGATTTCGTCAAGGCCTACCACTTTCTCAAAGGAACATATTGTCTAAGATTTTTAGTTTCCGAGATAAATGAGTTTTTAGTTTGACAGCTGAAATTTGATAGATCTCGTCAAGGCCTACCACTTTCTTAAAGGAACATATTGTCTAAGATTTTTAGTTTCCGAGATAAACGAGTTTTTAGTTTGACAGCTGTCATCATAAATGTAGGTTTCATCGAGGACTATAACTTTCTCGAACAAACTGATAGTCTATCACGCGTAGTTTCCAAGATAAACGAGGTTTTTGTTTGACAGCTGTCACCTGACATGTAGATCTCATCAAGGCCTATAACTTTCTCTAAAACACTGATAGTCTAGCATCCATATTTTCCAAGATACACGAGTTTTTAGCTTGACAGCTGTCATACTATGTGTCGGTTTCATCAAGATTTACAACATCATCTAAGAATTTGACAGTCTGCCTTAAATACTTTTCCATGTGAAAGAGTTTTTACTTGGAACCAGTTGACAGTTTTAGGTTTTGACGAATCACGTATTTGATTATTTTAGGTTTTGGTTACTGTCTACTGGAATTGACCAGTCTCAAATTTGACGAATCGCGTATTTGACTATTTTAGGTTTTGGCAAGTGTCGGCGCACTCTAAGGTAAGGTAACACTTCGCCTGCCAACTTGTCACATAAAATTCAATGCTATACGAAACACAATTTAGCGAAAAATATGCAAAACCGACTTCACAACAGGGGAAAAACACGCTTTTACCTACGCTTAACCGATTTGAATGAAATTGTGACGCTAAGACGTCGGTCCCGGTTGCTGTCTATGATCGATCACTCAGACGGCGATCGTTACACTACCATGTCAGAGGCGTGCTATTCGCAGTGGGCGGTTGCAAAACTGACACGAGTGTTCATCGGGTCGTTGGACGACTTGGTGTCCCTCTTGAAGATGAAGAAGTTCGATATTTTTGAATGAATCACATGAGTAGGTATCATTTTGAGTACATGGGCAAACTCATCTGAAATTATGCACACTTGCCTTTAGGGCGACGAATAAGTACCCATACAAGAAGTAAAAAAATAACTTCAAATATTATTTAGGGTGAACCAGACCATGAAACTGAACAACTTTCTACTAGGAACATTACAGGTAGGTAGAAAATATTGACAGTAATTTTTTTACATCTTATTTTTATACATCTTATCTTATACTAGCTGGTGCCCGCGACTTCGTACGCAAGGTGTTAGAGGCTTTGTGTTAGCTATATTATATCTACATGTTTTTACACTGTTAATCAGTGATTTTGAAATCAGCCACAAGTTGAATGTGCGGCTAGGGCTGAGTCAAATTTCGTCGGGTGCGCGAACTAAGAATAGGTCTTGTTCTTCTTCCTTAGGTTGGGATGCCTGCCCTGCTTGGCAGGACCGTCGCAGACGGGTAATCAGCTCCACTCTTGGCATTTCCTGTGCCTATAAATGGCATTAAATGTGAAACGATATACCACCTAATCTAGGATATTATTGTACCATTTGAAGGCAAATAATTAAGTAGAGTACATATGAGTATGAATATGAGTATCCCCAGGACTAAAAGATCTTAGACACAATCTTGGAAGCCCGAGACTCAGTGCGGCGCTTGCGATGACCTGGTAATCTTGTTGGTTGATCATGTTCTTTGCTAACTTATATTTACCAGGGTGGCGATTGTGCGACTTTTAGCCCGGACTTACATCGCGTTTTGGGTTAGAGGGCAGGGAATTTAGCTTGATTTTTTCGAAAGTTTTACATCCATGCTTCTTGTAGCACTCAAAGGAAGGAATTAAGCTCATCACCGTAGCAAATTTTATTAAGCTTGCTATTGTAATGGTTTACTTGTAACCGATTATTTCTATGAAATCCTAGCATCGTAGACTGACAACCTTTCAGACACTTAGGTACACGTTCCCAAATGATTATCTCTCCGACCGATTTTGGCCATGGCGACCACTTCTACTACTAATCAAGTCGACACTGATTCGCCTGTTGGTGGTTTTGTATCCTACATCGTAGTCCATTAGGTCAGTTGCACGGGATTATATAAGGTGCACAGACGTTTGCGCAAACGCAAGTGCAGGGACTTAGTCGTCCCCTCCTAGATTCAGTGGAACGGAGAACCGCTGCTACTGACGAAGAGGTCGGATCCAGTTTCTGGCCGACAGTAACTGCAAGCGCCCTCTACCTTCGCCCTAGCTAGGTTGTCCAATTTGCCTTGCTGACTGAGTCGCCGAGTCCACCAAGCCCATTCGCACTATCTGCATTGGGTTACCTTTCGCCGAAACAGATTTTGCAGGAGCGAGCTGCTTTTGTTGGATCTAGGAGAGAAGGGAGTAGGAACAGGAGTGGAAAGGAATGTGGTGAGTTTGGGACAGGAACACAGGTAGTAAGCTGTAAGATTCTACTGGAAGGTACTTAAACATAGACCGAAGCTCGGGAAGCCGGAGTCGCGTTTATAGTTCGCGTTTATAGTAGGAATAAAAAATTGTTATAAAAAAGAGAAAATTGTGCTTTGCAAATTTCTCTTTTTTACAATGTCTAATCCATTTCTGCGTAATGTAATGACTATCAATAAGTGATATTTTAATGTCCTATTTTGAATAAACATCTTTCACTTTCACTTTCACTTTCGTAGTCGTATACCACATCTAAACATTCGATCCAGAAGCTGAGATATAATAGGGTACCCCTGGCTGAAACAGACATATTACGCGGGTGTATAGTTTTTTTTTTTTTGTTTTTCTAGTTATTATAAGCAGAACATCTGAATTTTGAAATTGATGTTATATTTCAGTTTGCACCAAATCTATAGCCAAATTGGCCTAAAAACAGCTGCTTGCAGTAGGCGGTTGAAAAACTCTGACACCAGGGTTCATCGGGTCGTTAAACTACTCGGTGTCCCACACGAAAAGAAAGAAGAAGCTGCTTTCAAATTAACTTTCAGTATTAGAAGAAGAAAAACGACTACGCAGACATACACACTCAAAGGTTATTTTTCTTTAAATGTCATTATCAGTTTATATCGCCTTATCGATGACCCGCTGCAATGTAAACAGCCGCTGTTTTTGAAGACAGTTAGACGTAATGTACGGCGGTTAAAACAAACTTGCTGCGATATAAAGTTAAGATATTAGAACTACCTAAACAAATAACAATATCTCTACAACACGGTACGAAAAAGGCTAAAACCAACATTTCTCTTGTAATTGACA